GAACAATGAGGCTCCCGTGCGCATGCGCACACTGACCTTGCCGTCCCCCAAACCCGCATTAAAACCACACCTGGGCCCCTGGCCCCAAAACACTCCCTGGCTAGTTGTGGTCTGTGACTGTGCGTGACGGTTAGTGCCCCCCCTCCCCGAAGGAGCCTGAGGAGCTAAGTAGTCGGGGTTGGGCTGGGGCACAGCGGCCGTGCCAGAGCCCTAGTCACATGCAGCCCCGTGGTCTGCGGGGGTGTGGGGTGGCCCCTCCCCGAACTGAGCTGCAGAGACCAGACGCGCCCATCATGGAGAAGAGGGCGTCTTGGTTCCCCTCTGCCTCTGGTCTTGCACTACCAGTCTGATTTTGGGGTGAGGGCGGAGAGATTGGGTCACCGGATCTTTGTCTTGGGCTGTCTCCTGGGACTGCAGTGTCTCCTCCTGTGACTCAGCCAGCAGACCATGACTCGGAGCTGGCTTGGGAACATCCGGGTGGAACGCGCCTCGGCCTTCCTCGCACAGGGGACCCCCACTTCAGAAACCCCTGTGCCAGGGTTTGGACGGGTTGGGGAGGTGTGGCGACGTGAGCAGGTTGGCCCAGCTCTGCCGGTCTGTCTTTTCTTCTCATTTATCATTAATCTCGGTCACAACCCTGGACACCAGGGAGTTCCAAATGATTAACTTGAATTGGAGTCTCACTCAGTCGTCCACGCTCACAGCCACCCCAGCGTCGACCTGCTAGGCTCCAGCCATCCTTCCACCTCAGACTTCCAAGCAGCTGGAACTGCAGGCCCACTACCACGCCTGGCTAATTTTTAAATTTTATTGTAGAGAAATAAATTTTATTTTATTGTATTCACCATGTTGCCCAGGCTGGTCTCAAACCCACAGGCTCAGGCTATCCTCTCTCCTGGGCCTCCCAAAGTGCTGGGATTACAGGCTTGAGCTACCCCGCCTGGCCTATGATTTTTGAGAGACCTGGAGAGAGAAGTCTGAGCATGTTATTTGTTTAGGGATTTCTTTTCACATCAGTTCCCTCCCTGCAAGAGCAGTCATTCAGATGCAGCCTCTTGCTGAACCTGACATCAGAGCTGGGTTTGTGGGATTTATCTTCCAAGCAAACAGCTCCTCCTTAGAGGGCTGCTTCTCCCTGAATTCTGCTCTAGCTCCACCCTTGCACTGACTTCTAAGTGATCACACTCTTGAGATGCTGCTAAGAGAAATTATTTTGGCGGGGAGTTGTAGTTTGTGCTACTGCTGAAGGCCACCCACCTAACTTCCCCTCCCCACACTTTCTGCCTGGTAAATACAGGATATCCTGTCCAGGGCAAGAATCTGATGTAAGAGCCTGGATTCGGTGGGGAGGGCCCCCTTCCCTCCTGATGTTGAGCTGGGGCGGGGTCATGGCCCTGGTCTACGGTGGGCTGAGGGTTAGGCATGAGCCAGGGTGAGACTTATTCTGGGCCAAGTCTGGGACTGGCCATGACCCCACATGACCCCTGCACCCTTCACAGCCCTCCTGGGTTGTTTCTGCATCTACTAAGCCTGAGTCCCTGGGTGGAGGGCTTCCGTTCTCCAGACTTCATCTCAGGCCAGAACTTGAGGCCCCAGACTGCCCTCAGTTCTCTTCAGTGGGGACTTGAGAACACGAAAAAGCATCAGAGTCTCATGCCCCTTCCCCATGGTCCCTGAGTCTCACTCATATACAGAATTCTCATTCCTGGCAGGGACCAAGACAGAACAGCATCCACACCTCCCTCTCCGTGTTCAGAAAGCGAGGAGAGGCCCTGCCTTCTCCTAGACCCCCCATTTTCCCTGACCTTCCCTCAACCCCGCTTGGCAAGCTGGAGAAAAAGATTCTGTTGTCTTTGCCCCCTCTCCCTCCTACAAAGAGGTTCTTTTTATTTTTTTTATTTTTAATTTTTTTGGGTTGGAGTCTCACTCCGTCGCCCAGACTGGAGTGCAGTGACCGCTCCCGGCTACCGCAGCCTCCACCTGCTGCGCTCCGGGGATCCTTCCGCCTCAGCCTTCCGAGTAGCTAGAATTACAGGCATGCGCTACCACACCTGGCTGATTTTTTAATTTTATTGTAGAGATGAGGTCTCGCCTGCCCAGGCGAGTCTCAAACCCGCAGGTTCAGGCAATCCACTCACCTCAGCCTCCCAAAGGCGTGGGATTACAGGCTGAGCCGCCGAGCCCGGCTTACAAAGAGGTTCTTAAGGGGGAAGAAGCCTTTTCCTGCCTGAGGGGATTGTGGGGTCTCCTTGTTCCTCACCCCTCCTTTACCATCTCTGGGTGAAGGTGTTTTCTGGGCTCCCAGTGCTGCTCAAACACTCCTCCTGAGGTGAGCACACCCTGTCCTAAACGCTCAGAGACCTTTACCTGCGCTTTGGGATGGCCTTTGTCACGTGCTGCCCTCCTCCTTGGGTTACTTGATGTTGTGACTTCCTCTCTTTGCTGCTAGTATTATCATTATTATTATCCAAGATCACCAAGTGCAGGGCATTGTGACAAAAGTTGAATGATTTTATTTCTATTTAATCCTCATAACTGCCCTAATTGACAGGTAAGAAAACTGGAACTCAGAAAGGTCCAATAATTTTTTTGTGCCCGAGGTCACAGTGTCACTAAATAGTAGAACCCATTTTTATAACCAAAGCAGTTTGACCTCTTCAACAACACTTCACACTGCCCTAACTGTAAGCTTCTTGCATTCCACGATCTTGCACAATAGTGAAGCGTAAGAGCTGCAAAATGGAGATAAGGATAGTATCTACCTCAAAGAGCTGATGCAAGGATTAATTGAGTCTTGGAGTTGGACTTGGCCCTCAGTCAGCACTCAATAAAGGTGAATAAAGGACTGGGCATGGTGCCTCATACCTGTAATCCCAGCACTTTGGGAGGTGGAAGCGGGAGGATTGCTTGAGTCCAAACGTTCAAGATCAGTATGGTCAATGTAGTGAGATCTTGTCTCAACAAAAAATTTAAAAATTAGCCAAGCGTGGTGGTGTGCACCTGTAGTCCCAGCTACTTGGGAGGCTGAGGCAGAAGGATCTCCTGAGCTCAGGAGGTCAAGGCTGCAGTAGCCATGATCATGCCACTACACTCTAGCCAGGGTAACAGAGTGAGACCTTGACTCAAAAATTTTAAAAAAGCAAGTGAGTTGTTACTGGTTTTTTTTTTTTTTTTTTTTTTTTTGAGCTGGAGTCTCACTCTGTCGCCCAGACTGGAGTGCAGTGGCCGCTCCTGGCCACTGCAGCCTCGCCTGCTGGGCTCTGGCGATCCTTCTGTCTCAGCCTTCTGAGTAGCCGGAATTACAGGCATGTACTACCACGCCCGGCTGATTTTTTGATTGATTGTAGAGATGAGGTCTCGCTGCCCAGGCAGGTCTCGAACCCGCGGGCTCAGGCAAACCACTCACCTCAGCCTCCCAAAGGCGCGGGATTACAGGCTGAGCCACCGAGCCCGGCTGTGAGTTGTTATTGTTAATGATTTTATTATTATTACCGTGACTGCTACTGCTGCTTCTGCTTTGTCTGGAAACTACTTTGCCTAGAAGAAGAGGGCCTTCTACCTAGTGGAAGGTCAGTAAGTCGCCTGTGGGTGAACAGGTGAGGGACTGAATGATGTTCTTTTTTCGTTCTTCAAGGCAGGGGACCGGGTGATGGTGTTGAGCCGATCGGGCATGTGGCAGGAGGAGGTGACTGTGCCCTCAAACCAAACTTTTCTGATGCCCGAGGCCATGACCTTTGAGGAAGCTGCTGCCTTGCTGGTCAATTACATCACAGCCTACATGGTCCTCTTTGACTTCGGCAACCTACGACCTGGCCACAGCGTCTTAGTACACATGGCTGCAGGTGACAGGTCCCCCTCCCTTTATCCTCCCCCAACCCTCCACTCTACCCCACCCAGATTTCCTTGCAGGACTCTTCCCTGCAGCATGTCTGGATTATTGCCATGGCAACACAAGGCAGCCTTGGCCTGTGGCGCCCAGAGGCCTCTGCAGTGTAGTTGCCATGGTAACATTCAGGCACCAGGTCCAGCCTGGAGTGCTATCCTTGGCAACATGCTCTCACCCGGCACCTCTGCCTCTCCAGCCACCTTCCCCTCCCCAGTTCTCAATCATGAAAGTTGGACATGGGCCCCAAAATGAGCGTAGGCAAAATGAAGGTGATGGGCTGGGTCCTTGGGAGGCTAGAATAGAGAGTGGTAGCTGGAGACCCAATATCCCCTGCTTACAATATCTCGCTGCAGGGGGTGTGGGGATGGCAGCTGTGCAGCTGTGCCGTACAGTGGAGAACGTGACAGTGTTTGGAACAGCCTCGGCCAGCAAACATGAGGTGCTGAAGGAGAATGGGGTCACACACCCCATCGACTACCACACGACTGACTACATGGATGAGATCAAGAAGATCTCCCCCAAAGGTAGGGGGCAGGAAATGAGGAGGGAGGAGGAATGGGACAGGGAGGGGGCTCCAGAGCTGTGGATCCTGATGCTGTTTCTGGGTCCCCTTATTCTGTGACAGGAGTGGACATCGTCATGGACCCTCTGGGTGGGTCCGATACTGCCAAGGGCTACAACCTCCTCAAACCCATGGGCAAAGTCGTCACCTATGGTGAGTTAGGGGATCGGGATGGAGAAAGGGTGTGGAGGGCAGAAAGATAGGCCTTAAGGGGGGGGATAGAGGGGACCAGGGCTTTTGAATGAAGATGGAGCAGGGACTCGAGTGCACTCTGGGAGAGACAGGGTAAGGGGTTCCTGTATGGTTGTGCTGGGTATTCAGTGCTCTCTAGAGGCATCAGGGTCAGGAGGGGTCCTGTATTTTGCATTCAGGGTGCTGCCTCCTGGGTGTCGGCTCTTTTCATTCTGTCCCAGCTGTCCATGTGAGTCAGTAGATCCTGTGTTCTCTCTGTGCTGCTGTTTGGGGATTATTCTTGAACAACCAGGTTGCCTGGGCAAGGTGCATTTTCATTTACAAACTATTTCACACACAAAATAAACACATCAATAAAGATGAGAGTAGTTTGTTTTTTTTTTTTTTGAGTTGGAGTCTCACTCTGTCGCCCAGACTGGAGTGCAGT